ACCTGTCTCACAAATATCAAGGAGTAAACACGCATGTTGATATGCTGTATGCCCTCATTTACGCTGAAAGATAAATTAAATGCGTATTGGCCACATTAAAGTCTTCATTCAAAGAATGTTGAAAAACACGATCTACATGTTTAACAGATAACCATCAACCTGAATGTATAGATCTTGTAAGAAAGTTCATGTTTTAACAGATAACCATTAACCTGAATGTATAGATCTTGTAAGAAAGTTCATGTTTTAACAGATAACCATTAACCTGAATGTATAGATCTTGTAAGAAAGTTCATATTTTAACAGACAACCATTAACCTGAATGTATCGATCTGGTAAGAAAGTTACTATTTTTGTTATCATAAAGTTTACTACCTGACATACCCTTACAACGTAAAGACAGGAAATTGGGACACCCGGGGGGGAGGGACATAAAAGAATTGCATCTGACCCCGATCCCTTCTCTATATTTATTCCCATGGGCCATAAGGTTACTAGCCAAGTTTGGTGGCAATTGGTCAAGCAGTTCATCAATTATAAGCGGACACAAACACACACATAGACTTTTGTGAAATAATGGTTTAGATCCCTAATGTGAATGTATAGAACTTAAACATAAATAAACAACAAATAACGAAGGTTAAGATCGACATACAGTTAAAAACATTTCTAAAATGTGGACTCTACATATTTCGACGTTTACCATATCATCATCAGGTGTGAACTTGCAAGGCACAAGTATCATATTTATTTCTTCTTAGCTAGAAATAAATATCACACTTATGCCTTGCAAATTTACTCCTGAAGATGCGGTAAACGTCGAAACATTACCATTATACACAAGTTCCATGAAAATATCTATGTATAGAGTCTGTAAGAAGGTTACGATTTTGTTTTATCATAGAATTTATACTATTTATATCTACATAATAATTCATTTTAGCACGATTGTTAATGAAATATGCTTCATTTGTATCCTACAAGAACAAGGGTTTACTATAGCACAAGCTGAATCAAATAAACTGAGTGTGCATATCACAGTTTCATGAGATTCTCTGAGCCACTCATAATTCCAGATATTGTTGTATCAGACACTGTGTATTTCGTGTTTCGCCCTATATGTGGCGTCATATATACATATATAACTTACTGAAATATAGTATCGCTCTTTTGATTTTCTTTAGGTTTCTGACAAATAAGAATCTGATGTTACCATAAGGCGAGTGTTTTGAGAAGTGCAGTCAGAATTTGCTGTTATGTTCAACTTATATTAAAGTTTTCTTCATTACCCATTCAAGCCGTCTCTAAACATTATTAGTCTCAAAGTGGGTTCCTTGTCATCGAATATATCATAGTTGTGACAACACTGCAGGGAATTAAAGACAAAATGATACAAACCTTAATCTGGTATAACTTGGGACAAGAACAGTGATGAGAAGATTAGACCCTGTAACAGAAACCTTAATTTGATTTGTAACTTCAAACAGGGTCAACGAAGAGGAGGTTAGAACCTATATGAAAAACCTTAATTTGATTTGTAACTTCGAACATGATCAACGAAGAGGAGATTAGAACCTATATCAAAAACCTTAAATTGATTTGTAACTTCGCACAGGATCAAAGAAGAGGAGGTTATAACATATTTCAAAAACCTTAATTTGATTTGTAACTTCGAACAGGGGCAACGATAATAAGACTAGACCCTGTATATCCTGCGTCTAATGTTTAACAACAACTGCAATAAAACATGTATTTTACATATAATTTCTAATATGCATGTTTGCGTTAACTTAAAATAACACAGCAATAAAAAACACCCAACTTCCTAAAAAACAACACTAAAATTATTTTACTTAAATTTTTGCTAACAAAATTGTAATTTCAAACAAGAAAAACACAGATATATTAATCATTTATGTACCTTCTAGTAGAGAGGTTTTAAAACGTAAAAAATAATAAAACTACAAAATTCTACTGGATTCTTCACATAAATTCTAACAAAATAGCAGTGAAAGTCTAGAATAGACCTTATACGTCATTTCTTTGATTGACTTATTTAAAATATTTGCAGCTTGTTTTGTAAGCATTCAAAAACATAAGTCCTGAATATGTTTTCTCATAAGAACAATAGTACAAGCCTAGATAATGCCCGTAACTGATAAAAAAAAAGAGCATAATATATTACATCCTTTATATCCTTACTTTACTCGTTAAGAAAAATATCAATATTCGGGATCTGCAAATAATTTTCAGCAATAACACTATCCTGATTACGAAAACCATTAAAATGTAATTACTATACACGTAATTTGCTTTTAAGATCTCAGACATAATTTCTAGCATGAAAAAACAGAAATCATATATTCGTAATTTCATTTTTCAAATCTCAAATGTAATTTGTAAGAAGCAAAACTTTGAAATATATATACACGTTAACGTAATTTTTTACAAGGACGTCATTAAAATATGAATCACGCAGTTGAAATTTAATTTCTGAAGAAAACACCATTAAAAATATCTATAGCACCTAGACTTTACTCGTACTGCCTACCAATAACAAGGATGAAAATCTACATCTTTCATATAATTTCTAATAAGAATACAGAGGTAAATAAGAAATGTCATTCACACAATTTATCAACATGATATTAAACGCAGAATTTTAGCTGCACTTTTCATACACATAGCATAAAATATATAACTTCTAAGAGAGTAGCATCAACAAACCGATATTATTTTTTGGGGGGAGGGGCTAACCCCACAAAGCATTTATTAAATGCAAGCTTTCAAGCTCGTTTTTTAAGCTTTTGCTCAGATACAATTTGAATATTACGTTATATTTAACCTAAGAATGTAGAACATTACATAACATGCAAGAGTTGTGTCATAAACACAAAATGTATAGAATACGGCGCATTCTATCAGTACGTTAAATAATTATATCTTTACATACTGATAGCTGTAGGGAATACTACACATACATTATTTACATTTCCATATAACCATACTGAACGTTTTAAAAACTTTGAAGAAACTTTAATGTAAATTAAAAAAAAAGTCAAAGGAACAAATTACTATAACTAAACATAATTAATTAATTTCTGGAATATATATATATATAACTTAGATATTATACTAATACAAAATAATTTTATTTTACAATTCACTGAAACGTATTTTAACGAAGTCATGATTCAATTTATGTTTGGTATAATTTCTTGTTTCGTTGTAAATGTATATATCCATTCTTGTGGTATTTAGTAAATTGCTAATAACCTCTATTTTATTTCATTGGACTTTTTCTTTGCAGCTAAAATGATATTCAGCCTTATATGATTTTTACTGTGAACCAGAAAAGATCGGCAGCTTTCCCCAATGTATGACTTTCTACAATTACATTTTACGTTAAAAATAACATTTTGTTGTTCAAGTTTAGGTATTGGATCTTTTGTCAAAAGGTCTTTGAAGATTCTGTTGGCATGAGTACTTTAAAGTCTAAGTTCCAGAAGAAAGAGTAATATAGCAATAATTGGTTTTGATTATTTTATGTTCTTTAGCAATTCCAAACTGGTAGTTGATAAAAGCTTGCAAATAAACAAAGACTTAACGTGGTAAAAACCCGAATATAGGTGTTACACTATTAATCTTTCTATATCTAGATTATAACATTAAATAATGTCCTTAGACAAACCTCAAGGTAATTACTGGAAGATGGAGAGTAATTAGTGGAAGTAATATGTTAAAGACATTTTGTTTACATTGGGTACCTGGATTTTTAATAAATAGATGTGATATAATTGATAATACCAAAGTATAAAGTGAAATTTATTGCTTCCTCTGGCCGGCGGTTCGAAAGTATGGACGGCACAACGCTACCTGGATTGCGCATTGACAAATATAATACAACGGGATTTCACAATTGGGGGGGAGGAAAGCCTGTGTTTTTGTCTTTTACTTTACCTTCTTCTTATCAAAAACAGGTATGGATTTTGTTATAAAATACTGGTTAGTTAAGGGGAAAGTCTGACTTCTAAACAAAGAAAGTACACAAAAACTATTATTTTCTGGGTTATAACTTATAAATAAATAGAAAAAAAAGACTGATAATATTGAAATACAAATGTATTTTGTGTAGAAAGCCATCCAGTAGCTTCGCGCAAAATTCGACTAAACAACTAGGGTAATTTATGATTTACAATATTCGCTTGGATTTCATACTCTTAGGTTTCCAAGCTCCAGAAGCTTGTAATAGTAATAGGAGTTTATGAATTACCAATAAAAAAGATCCAAATTCTGAGTTTTAGGCCTAGACTGCGTTTAATTAAAAAATTGACTTAAAATGTTTATATTTAGATTGTACAGTATGTCAAGTTTAAATTTTAGAAATATTCTTTAAGTAAAACCAATTATTCTGAGGTTAGTAACTACAAATTGAAATATTTAATTTTTGTCTAGGAGGCCTAACACATTAATCTTTTCCAGGTCTAGTCCAAAATTTTAACTGTGAAATATAATAAAAAGCCTATAATTAAAAAGATTTAGCTTCAGAACATCATTAAAAACACATTCTACATGTAATATCTAATTAAAATAATATTAAGTATCTGAATTCAGAAAGTAATTTATAATAAAATATATGGATCCATATGTAATTTCCAAGAAGAAAAACTACAAACAAATAACTCATGTCAACTAAAATCAAAATAATTTCATAAAATTTGATTATTCATATTTGTTGTATAAATTAGGTAAAAAAGATAAACGTATCACGGAAAAAATTCTTAGGAGGAAAACGTTATGTAATGTGTAATTTGCCAGATGCAGATTAGAAGCTAAATTCTACACACATTCTATAAGAAGAACCACAATAGAAACTTTATTGCCTTAGATGAAATTTGCGAAGAATGATGTTATAAAACTAAACTGTTAAGTTGAATGTCCTTCATCATCATTTATATGACAGTTCTTAATAATCTTAAGTGATACATTGTTGAACTTACTCCTTATCTCTGACGTCAGGAAGGCTCCTATGAAGAGATAGAAGATCACTAACATATTGGTTAAAAGCGTTCTTATCCCATCCTTGCTTTACCATCGCTTGTTGAGACTGTGTCAAATTATTCAGTTTCACTGGTTTTCCCATCTCCCCTGGACCATCAGGATCTCTGAGTAAGGGAAGTACTTCATGACCTTGGCTCCCAGGGACATCGGCTACCACACTTTTATTAACAGGATCTCTGGGTAGCGGAAGTACTTCATGATCTTGGCTCCCAGGGACGTCGGCTACCACACTTTTATTATCATACTTGTGGTGGACTCCTGGCGGTTGTGAAGATACAGATTTATAATTTTTGAAAGCTAGTCTGTTGATTTCTGCAAGTTTTTTATTTACTAAAATCACGTTCTTGTTAGGAGCGTTTCTTATTTCGATGTCTTTATCAGTAGTCACTTTATCGTTATAAGTTATAAGTACTGTGAACAAAAACCACGTGACTAACACGAGCACAAGAATCTTGATGACGACGCTTCGTCTTCTGGGGAGTAGATTCATGGTGGAAGTTAGGTGCCACTGGTTATTTATACAGATATGGTAACTGGGGCGATGCAATATGGGTTAGGACATCACATGTATGTCCAAAGTATTAGTTTGGTGTTTCTAATAAGGACGAAGTAAGGCGTGTCGACGACCTGCTGGTCAATGAAAAAAACATCAAAATACACATACATACATTATCGTGAATCGTAAAAGAAATCTGCTTCTAAATTTTAACACATTAAAGAAATCAATATGCCGCACCCTCATTAAGTAGGATAATGATTCACATTAAATATAAATGTTTGAACTCACAATCGGGTTTTGTATACATTTATGACATTTCTACTCAATTTTTTGTCTTTTTGCTTTTAAATGGCACATTTATTTTACTTTCTTCTTATAAAACGCCCCCCCCCCCAGTGGCACAGCGGTATGTCTGCGGACTTGCAACGCTAGAAACCCAGTTTCGATACACTTGGTGGGCAGCGCACAGATAGTCCATTGTGTAGCTTTGTGATTAAACTACAAACAAACAAACAAACAATCCTTATAAAAACATACACGCATTTGGTTATAAAATGCCTGTTAGTTAAACAGAAAGATCTAAACGCATAAAGTACACAAAAGTTATTATCTTCTGGGTGAGCTTCTACCGATGTCTTGAGGCAATCCCCATCAGTTAGCCCAATATCAGCAAAATCTAAATGGGAAAAAATCCCACATGATAATCCAAAATTTTCTAAAGCTAGGTGCCACTTAACCTCAACTCACGTAGTGGGGTAAAGAGAAACTGAAGTTTCTGACCGCTCCTAGTTATATTTCATTCGAATGAAGTATATATTAACTTAAATTCCCACCACAATTGGATTGTATTCTAAGTAGATATGTATAATATGCATATTTCCTTGTGAGAAATGCGTTATTTCGTTGCCGAAGTATTTAGAATTTAGTAATGGTATAATAACATAACTAATATTACAGTTCAAGCACACGGCCACAATTACATCGTTTGACAAGGGGACTCAATAAAAGCTTTATCCCTGTAAAACGTTTTTCACTGTTATACACCAAAAGCCACATGACTAACACAAAAACTGGAATCTTGATATCAACGCTTCGTCTTCATAATGTAATTCTGATACTAATAAGTATTGATACTTTATCACTATGGCATATGTTAAAGTTTACGTTCCACAAAACTTTAGAGTTTCAAGTGCAAAGTATATTACTTACTGCACTTCCTAAACATATCTAAAACGGTAATTTGATATTTAATAGATAAGATAAGAATCTGGTGAAAGAGTATTTTTATGTAAAAGTTAATGTTACACATACCTATAGTATGAAGGCTAATAAGTTAACAGAATACCCAAGATACCCCAGGCCAAAATAAGGCATCGAACATTAGCATCCGCTGTTAAGATATGAATATTAACACTATGCAGTCGCAAGGAAGACTGGTAATGACAAGGTGGTAATTATTGGTCATCTGTAGCACAAGGTGGTAATTATTGGTCATCTGTAACGAACAAACTATTCTGTAACCGTAAAAATTAATTACTTTTCACAGAAACGTTCTTATAAAGACGGTACAAACAACTTAGTAGTAATTAACATGTTTAAATTCCAGAAAGTTATGGAAATAAATGGAAAATGTAAAGTAAAAGTTGGTCTCTTCCTTAATATCTAAAGAAAAGAAGCCTAACCTAACAGCATCTCCCTCTGTTGAATTATTATTTTTTTCTGAATAGGAAGCAATTATGTTAGGATAAAAAAGAAACGGAAGTAATAACATATGTTGAAATGAAATAAAAAAATCTGAGTCATTGAAATTCTGATGAAATCCTGTTCACGTTTTAATATTCCATCCTTTGTGTGGGGAATAAAATTGCCAGCTCAATATAAGAATAATAAATAAATCGTTTATTTACTTTATATATATATACATACATCCTCGATATAAGAATAATAAATAAATCGTTTATTTACTTTATATATATATATATATATATATACATATA